TATTCAATGTACAATTATTCTTTAATCTCAAGTGGTATGAATCATGATGGAAATCATGTATATAGTGCCTAATTCATTCATTATTTTGAAATTATAGGGATTTAAATAGGAAACGAAGAAAAGAGAAAACAAAAAATGAATATGAAATTGGTATTTGTTAGAGAATAATATATACCAATAAAAACCAATTCAACACCTTAAGGTTTTGGGTTGAATTGGTTTTCAACATGGTATCAAAGCTTCAGTGACCAAAAGTTTATGAGTTCGATCCTCACCGCCCCCACTTTTAAGTGGAATTAAATAAGCACAAGGTAAAACCAAAAAACAAAAATTGAGTTTGTGCAATATCCACGCTTCAAGCCCAAAGGGCTCTTGCGTGAGGGGATGTGTTAGAGAATAATATAAACCATTAAAAAGGCTATCACCCAACACCTTAAAGTTTTTGGTTGAAATGGTTCTTTACATGGTATCAGAGCCCCAGTAACCATAAGGTCACGAGTTCGATCTTTACCAGCCCCACTTTCTAGTGGATAAAATAAGCACAAGGTAAATCAAAAATTGGGACAATGTAATATCCACGCTTCAAACCCAAACGGCTCTTACGTGAGGGGGAGTGTTAGAGAATAATATAAACCATTAAAAATGCCCTCACCCAACACCTTATGGTTTTGGGTTGAAATGGTTCTCAACATGGTATCAGAGCTTCAGTCACCATAAGGTTATGAGTTCGATCCTCACTGCCTCCCCACTTTCAAGTGGAATTAAATAAGAACAAGGTAAAAAAAAATAAATTGGGTCTGTGCAACATCCACCCTTCAAGCCCAAAAGGCTCTTGCATGAGAGAATGTGCTAGAGAATAATATAAACCATTAAAAAGGCTATCACCCAACACCTTAAGGTTTTAGGTTGAATTGGTTCTCAACACTATTGATTTAATAAGTTATAATGTGATCTAAACTACAAAGAACTAATCTCTATTTAAACTAATAATAGACTCCAAAAATAAGGAAACAAATGAAATATAAGGAAATATGGAAACCAATCCTAAGAGGATATAATCATAATATTATAGGATATCTTTTAGATATTCTAACACTCCCCCTCGAGCTAAAACACGGTTGATATGCTAACTCAAGAATGTTGGTAACACTAGAGAGATGAGCATTGTTGAAATAACAACACAACAAGAAATTCATCAAGAACAACATTTAGAAGCCCCACATCACAAGAAAACTTAGGAGACCCAATATTGAAATTTAAAATTGAGGTTTTGCATGCATCACGTGCATGAAGAATTTTTTTTTTATTGTTGAAATGACTCGTCAATGAAATAAGAGAAATCGCCATTGATATGAATCAAAATGGGAGGCTGGTATAAATCATAGCCAATATGTTCATCACTCTGCATAGGCCAAGCTAACAGGGCTAGGCAACATCCAATGGGAATGGGAATAGGATACATATGAGACGAAATCTATGGGGCCAGACTACATCCGGGCCAAAGTTCTATGGCACCAGATTGCATCTGAGACACAGTCGAATGAGGCCAGACAACTTTCGAAACAAAGTCTGACAGGGCCAAATAGCATCTATGGCAATGGATGAAAAAGTGGCGGATGGGGACGATGAAAAGACCTACGAGATAGTCAAAATGATGACACAACTATCGACTGTTAAGAAACAATATAATATAAAACTAAAAAAAATTGTCTTCAAGTAACAACTTAAACTTTTTGGATTTAATTAGTTTTTTACTTGGTCGCAAAGGCTTTGAGACCATTTAAAGAACCAAATTGCAATCTTGTTATTCCGGCTTTGCTTCAAACCAACGTCATGAACATGATAGCCTAACATTAGGGTTTCAATTAGTATCCAAAAATATTCATAAACCCTATAGTGGTTGACCTTAAGTGAAACTCGGAGATGGCTCCCATCAAAATCCATGGCTAAGGTAATAGTTTAATCATCCTCAACCCACCATGCATCCGTTACAAGCCTTGATGCCTGATAAAAGTGGGTTTCATCAGCATCACAATCACGAGATTAACATGCATATTTTTCCATGTTAAGGGGAAGACCCCAAAGTTCACAATTATAAACACAGTTACAACTTGCTCTATTTGATCATATAAATTTTGGTTAAGCAAAAAATTCTTCAAAAAGATATTGCAATGGAACCCTAGAGGAGCTTTATTTGATTTTTAAATTTTCACGAAAAGACGAGAATTTTGATCAAGCAAACAATTCTTCAAGGAGACCTCATACTAAAAGCATTCAGACAACGATGAACTAGATACCAATCATGGAAAGCTTTCTACTGCAAAATCAAATCATTCATGAGTGAAAAAGGTATTATTGTTTGAGTTTTGTAATAAGAAGTTCACCAATATCCAAGCAATGGGTGGGCACCAAGACTCTCACAAGAGAAGAAAGCGACCAAAAAAGAGAAGATTCTTGCCGCGAAATTTCTAAACCTAAGTTTAATTTCCATGAGAAGAGTTGGTTATTAACATGACATTAGAGCACTTGGTCATAAAAACTCCGATACCACGTCATAAACTATTTTAACCCAAAAGCTTAATTTGTTAAGTGCATGTCACATTAATTGTTTTATATATTACATATCTAAGATCACTTTTCTAAGTTTAGAAATAGAGGTGGTAAGAATCTTCTATTATTTGGCTGCTTCTCTCTCTTTCTTATGAGCGTTTTGATGGCCAAAAGGCTTGAAAATTGTTGAACTTCTTATTACAAAACTTGGAAGATAATATCCTTTTCACTTGTGCATGATTTGATTTTTCTGAAGCAAGCTTTGCATAATTTGTACCCGTTTCACTATTTTCCTCTTCTTTAACATGGTTGAGGATGCTTCCAAATTTCACGAGAAATCGATAACCAACTTACATTGCTGCCTCGATGGATTTAGTCTGAGGTCTCCTTGAAGAAATGTGTTACGTGAAAGTTTGAAAATCAAATCAAACACCTTTAAGGTTCCACTATGGGGTCTTTTTGATGAATTGTTTACTTGATCAAAATTCACATAATCAATTAAACAAGATTATAACTGTGCTTGCAATCTTGAACTTTCTGCTCTTCCCCTTAAGATAAATAAATATGCAAGTTCATTTGATTTATGTTGCTGATTAAACCCAATCTTGGTAAGCATCAAGGCATGTATTTGGAACATGGTGGGTTGAGGACGATTCATAATATGTTATCCGTGCCATGGATTATGATGGGAGACTTCGTGTTTCACATAAGGCACACCATCGTGCAGTTTATGAATATTCATAAAAAGTGATCGAAACCCTAATATTAGGCTACCATATCCGTTTTCTTGGTTTGAAGCAAAACTCAAATAATAAGACTACAAATTAGTAAGCGAGTCCATGAGTATGCTTATAAAATATTGACTTCCCAATTTGCAATCTCATTATTCATGTTTTTCTTCAAATCAAGGTCATGAACATGGTAACCTAACATTAATCTTTCGCCCACTATTCAAGAATATTTATAAACCCCACGACGGTGGACAATATGTGAAACTCAAAGATGGCTTACATCATAATTCATGACTAGGGCAACAGATTATGAATCGTCCTCAACTGACCAAACACCAGATACAGGCCTTGATGCCTGATAAAAGTGGGTCTCATATGCACCACAAACGAGATCAACCTGCACCTTTTTTTTTAAGAAGAGGAAGACCATAAAGTTCACGGTCAGGGAAAACATTTACCACATTGTTTATATGATCATGTGAATTTTGATCAAGCAAACAGTTCTTAAAAATATCTCAAAGTAAAACTCTAGAGAAGTTTGATTTGATTTGGTCAAGCAAGAAATTCTTCAAGGAGAACTCAGCCTAAAATCATTGAGGACGATGCAAGCTACACATCAATTTCTCATGATGTTTGGAAGAGAGGAAAACAATGAAACGAGAACCAAAAATAGAAAATTTCCTGCTACAACATCAAATCAAGAATGAATGAATAAGGTATTATCGTGCAAGTTTTGTAAAAAAATGTTCAGCAATAGTCAAGCCTTGGGTGTGCACCAAGATGCTCACAAGAAAGAGAAAAGCAACCAAAAAAGAAAAGATTCTTGTCACCTCTATTCCTAAACCTAAAATAGTTAAATTTTCATGTGAGATGATTCTTGACATGGTATTAGATTACTTGGTCACATAAACTTTGATACCATGTCAAAAATAATTTCAACTCAAAAGCTTTAAGTTGTTAAATGAATGCTACATTAATAACTTTATAATTATGTATTTAACAACCCATTTTTTAAGTTTAGGATTAGAGGCAGCAAGAATTTTTTCTTTTTTGGCTACTTTTCTCTCTTTCTCGTGAGCATTTTGGTACCCACCCAAAGTTTAGCTATTGCTAAACTTCTTATTACAAAACTTGCAAAATAATATATTTTTCACTCGTGTATGATCTAATATTGTAGCAGTAAGTTTTGCATAGTTTTTATTATTTTCCTCTTCTTTAACTTGGTTGAGGATGCTTCCACACTTCATGGAAAATTATTGTGCATCTTGTTTTGTTGCCTCGAAGGTTTGAGTCTAATGCCTCATTGAAGAATAGCTTGTTTGACCAAAACTAAAGTTTTTACGACAAATCTTGAAAAAAAAAAAAAAACACTTTTCAGAGTTCTTTTTGAAGAATTGTTTGCTTAAACATAATTCATAAGAGTAAATTAAACAAATTTATGACCGTGAACTTTGTTGTCTTCCCCTTAACATAGAAAAATATGCAAGTTGATCTCAACACAATTAGTTGCATATGCATGATATATGGTTTAGAATCAATGATATAGGAAACTGACAAGTGGGAGATACTTTCCCTATATCAAAAAAGAAGAAGGAAAATCGGACATTAGCAAAACAAGTCAAATTCTAAATTATACTACATAGGAAAAATTTTCCCTAAGTAGGTGATACTTTCCAACAAACCATACAGTAGCAAACTGACAAGTGGCGTGCAACTTACATTCTGAGAATTTTCATCACTTCCTTCACTAGTACCTTCGCTAGCGCTCTCACCACTACAAATTCAAGTTTTAATATCAGCATAAGTAGCCAGTATGACGTTGCAACTGTCAAGAAATTGAGATAAAGTAATAAACCATCCACTTTTAACCCTACTAATATATTTCCTATAGCATAAAGGAAAACGAAGCCCGAATATTGATAAAGGAAAATAATAGTAAAAATTAATAAAGTAAATGGGGTTTGCAAGCATTAGAAGTTAAATATGAAATTATTCTCTAGTCATAAAATTAAAACATATAAAAAGTCGAATAAGAAAAATATTACGCTGTATTAAAAACCTATAAAGCATATCTAAAGAATGTCAACCAATTTCCAGGATTTATTTCTATAATCTAGAACGACAGAAAAACATGTTCACAGCTTATATCAACTTATGATTACATATTTAGAAACAACAATTTGGCAGAACATAATGGGCACGGATTAATGGATTACTTTGATTCAAATAAGAGAGCGTAACTCAACTACTAGATTGATCAATACACCACATCGCACCTTTTGGAATGAATTCCATTAGCAGATTTCCTGGGTGTTTTACCAAGTTCATTATTTTTTCCTGTTATCATATTCAAACTACCCAAACTTCCTTTTGATCTTTTGATTGGTAATTTTTCCTTCACCTCAGGAGGCTTACCTTCAGCTTTGATGATACCTGGAGTATCTACCTGCATGTCAACTCATAAGGTGATTTTCCTTAGTTAGATAAGGATAAGTTCAGCACAAGAGAAAGAAAAGACAGGCAGAGAGTTAAAAAGCATGACAAAGAAAGAAAGCAGAAAAATGCAGAAGGGCATAGAAACTCACCGAAGTATCTGCAATACCATTCGGAGAAGGCATGGCAAAAGGACTAAAAGGATAAGATCCCTAATTAAGTTCGTGAAAACGTGCAAATATTGGTTAACGAATTCTAGATTATAGTGATTGATTACAATATGATAACCTCAAAAAAGTATAATCTACAAAAGAATACCGGAGGAATGGATGTATGAGCGTATATGCCACCATGGGGATACATTGCAACATAGGGGTGTGGCGGGGTGCCATAGGGAGGCATAATATGCTGCAAGCAAAAATTTAATCAATAAGCTAATGGAAACATGTGGGAGAATTCAAACTAGATATTTTGTAGTATTGGTGTAGCAAGGTACACACAAGTTGTAGGCATAGTGGACAACAATTAAAAAAAAAAAGAAGATAAAAAGGTGGGTTCCAGTCAACGATGCATGACATAAACAAAAAATAATCATGTTGCAGAATAGTTCCGGTTCCAATCCAGATTTGGATATTCTTGTACAGGTTCCAGTCAACGATGCATGACAAAAACAAAAAATAGACCTGTTGCAAAATAGATTCGGTTCCACTCCATTTTGGGATATTCTTGTACTGTTTCCTAAGGTAATAAAACTGACTATATATCATTCTCCTGAGACATGCAAGGAATTGGCATCATCATTAACTCATCAGAAATTCACCCTTAATGAGAACAAGTGTTAATAACAATATACCAAACACGTATTGTACAAGCTACCAAAGTTGTTTCCTTCAATTCAAATTTTCGGGATAATATACATAAACATCACCATTATCCCAATATCCCAAATAAATTGGGATTGGTGGTTGCTGATCCTATATAAAAGCAAGACTGGATGAAGGAAAAATAAATAATTAAAAATAAGGAGACATGTATATTTTCTGTAGTGTGGTGTGTTGCGTGTACTGTACCATGGGTACTTGACTTGAGTTCTGATCTGTTAAGATCAGTTAGGCTGTTATGTTTCTGTTAGGTTGTTGAGCTGTTTCAGTTATTAGAAGGCTAAGCTGTCATAGGCTCCTAGCTTCCTAACGAAGCTAACTCTAGCTATAGATATCACATATCACTCTTGTACCGAGAATTCTCTTCAACCTAAAAAATACAGAATTCATAAGCTTCTCTTGTCTCTCTCTTGCTATATTTTCTTTCTCACCTTTTCCCACACTTTCCCTTCTTTTCTTGAATAAATAACAGAAAATAAAAAAAATAAAAAAAAATAAAAAAATAAACTAATAAAAAAATAAAAACATAGGAAAATTTTATCCATCCACAATGCTAATAGCTTTTCTCTCTGTCCCAAGACAAATTGCACACTAATTTATTTCCCACTTCATCAAGTCTTCTTTTACTATTTCTCCCGTAAGTTTCAGCTGGCCTCCTACCTTCGAGCTAACATACAATTGAAAAGAATAGATAAATCTATTTTAGTGTTCAAACGAGTATCAAATTACTAGTTGATATTTCACAAGACTAAAAGGAAGCCCTCCTGCTGCTGTTATGTCTCAAATAGCCAGTGTTGTTTGTTATAAGCACCATAGAGCAATAACATTAATCATGACGTAAATTATTTACAAAGTCAATAAGATTAGATCGAATGACATGGTGTTCAATTTTTACTAGTTCACAGCTCAAAATAATCATTTCTGCTTGCTGTCAGCAATGTGCTAAGTGTTAACTTTTCCAATGTAAATAATTAACCAATCGTTAAAATCAGCTCATAACTTAAATGAAGCCTCACCTTGAAGAATCTTAAGAAAAATTTTCTTTCCTACGTTCTAAGTATCCGACCTCCAGATTGATTTTCACCACTGATTTTTTAACAAGCTCTCAGAGCCAGATCATGCTACAAACATAGTTGCAAGAAAAAGTCAGGTAGGTTTTTATTATGTCATTGTACTTGCATTATATGACACGAACAAAAGGACATACTGATATACTTATTAAAAAAATTCTTTACTGAAAAAAATAAATATTATAGTTTAAAAATAAGGTACATATGCTTGTTTAAAAATATACGGGTGGCGGCCAGGGTTTCAAATTGAAATGTGGGGTTAACGACTCTTTCATAGAAATCTGAAAAGACTTCAGAAATCTAATCCTAGAAATAAAAGTAGTTCCCTTCAATAGGAATGGAAAAGCTGTGAAACTGTTAAATCTCTGTAATTGAATCTTTTGTACTGAATGTAATGGATTTATATTGTTTATGTATTTTAATATCTTGCATCAATGGAAATTGAACATGACTGAGAAAAGAACTTCCTTAAGGAAGGAATTTCAGACACTAAACAATAGGAGGAAGGTGAATAGTATGGAAACACTTTCACTGGTAGCTTTAAGAATAAGGGACCACCTTGTTCATCAAAAGTTTTGTTCTGAGTAATTGTTAGGAACGAAATTGTCCATTGGATAAGGTCTTGAGCCTAGATTACAGTTGGTTTAACAGTGGATTAGTGTATCCATTCCTTTCTTTTATCTATTGTTCCGCTTATCATTCCATTTGTGTCGTTCCCTGTTAATGCTCAATTTATTTTCTGCATCTATTGTTTTTGTTTCACCACACACAACAAATATTGTAACATCCCGTAAAAATTAGGAACGTATATAAACTTCCTTTAGTGATGTTAATACATGTTTTGAACTCGAAATATATATATGTTCAGGGTGGAATTAATTCGAGTTAGGAAAATTAAATTTTGCGCATGCATGCTATTAGGAATAAGTAGGAATATTTTCTGAATTTGAATGTTAGTTATAAGTATATGATTAATTTTAATTCAATGAATAAACCCCCTTAGTTAATAATTAGAGGGTACATAAAATGATAAGGCATGGGTTAGTTCCTAAGATAGGAGAGCCTTTGGACAAATATTTTTGGACCCAATTCTTGTGATGGCCGACGGCCCAAGTGCCCTAAGTGGGGCTTATGTGCAGCCATAAACTCTTACCTAATCCTCACCTTATCCTAAGCATCTTACAAGGCTGTCCATGATTGGTCTAGAACCAACACATGGCAAAATTCAGCCATCTTGCATCCCCTTGTTCCATGCGCTAGAATGGGAAGAAAGCAAACTGATTGCTTGTGGCCTTTGTCAATCTCAACCAGCCTTTTTAAAACATGCAACCAATGAGAGAGGTGTGGTCAGTTTGCATGTAATTCTATTGGGCAGAAATCCCACACTCCTCTTACACTCTCTTGTGCGCATAGGAGGTGCTAAATAGGATAAGTTGCTGGTCATTTTCCTTCAGAAACACAATACACAAACTCCTATTCCCCTCATCCTCTCTACACCGCCAGCCCCATTCAAGGAAGAGAACAAAGATATAAAATTTCATCTCATCCTCACCTTCATCACTAAAACCGTGAACCTCCTAGAAGGGCAACCAAGGTTTCTAAACACATTCTTCTCTTCCTACCTTGTTCGGCCGTGCACTAGTATTCAAGGAGGTAAAGTATTTCCTCTATTTCCCTGCTCACTCGTGTTCCTCTTCGGTTTTACAAGGGTTTCTTCCCTTTGCATGCAGCTGAAGACTCGAAGGAGTGTGAGGTTACTTGTTCAACCTTTGGTGACTGTTCTCTAGTCGATTAGTGAAGCCTTGGGGTGCATGCAGTTAGGTGGAAATCTGAAATCAACTCTTCCTCTCAATCTCGTTGTTCGGCTTTAGAGGTATTCTAGGAGAACTTGGTTATCATCTCTTTTCTTTCCATTCTGCCTTGTTGGAGAACCTCATGATCGCTGGGTACATGCAAACCATGATCGAGTTTGAGCTTAGAAAAATAGCTCCTTACCCTTTGTTGGATGGTTCCCTTGGACTAGGAAAATTATTAAAAATTTGTATGTGCTAAGAACTTTATGGACAGCATGTTGAAGCCCTTTATTGTCCCCTATGTTATGTAGAAAATGTTATAAATGAACAATTTTAGGCCCCTAGTAATGGGTAGAAAACCGATTCTGTATGTGTTGGAATTCTTCGCTGTTACTCAGTTCGTAAATTAATGTGTAGTCAGAAATTTGTTTAGGGTAAAAAGCATGGTAAAACCGAATTGATATACATGGAAGAACCTAGGATTTTGTTACTGTAACAAGTTAGAAGAATTGGTATGAAGTCAGAAAATTAATTCTTTATGTGAACCATGAAAAAACCGATTATATACATGGGTTAGGGGGCATAGATATTAATTGTAAATTATAGGAATCAAAGTTTGAAATTCTGTTTTGGTTTCTGCTTGCTTAGGTGCGCATCACCCTTAGTGTGTGGGCTGAATTTTGGTGCTGTTTGACTATTACTTGGACACGCAGGAAAGTGTTTGGTGGTGAGACCTTTTGTGACTATTAGCTAGTGTATGGAGTTTTGAACTGTTGCTCACATGTGTCTGGTGAATCGTATTCTGTTAAATATTAATTGTAATCTACCTTGGATTTGACATAATGGAAATTTTGTTTGGAAGTATTTGTTATTCGAGATATTGGTATTAAAAATCCATGTTATATATGGTACACTGGTTCTGACTCTGTCATGCTCATATACATCATTACTTCATCTGTTTTTTTTTTTTTGTGCGTGCGAAACATATCATGGCATACATGCACTATTTTCATGCTGTTTTGTGAACTATGAATATTTAAGAAAAAACACGTGTTTGAGCATGCATCATGTAGGCATCCCTTAGGTACCAGGGAACGGAACCGTGGCATAGTTCGCATAGGTCGCAGTTGGAATTCCCCTCTGATGGGCCAAATGGAATCTCCACTGTGTTAGTTAGTTAGTACGTGCACTGCAGTGCTATGAACGTACATTATTCTGGCGTTATATACGCACTCTGATTATATGTTAGTTCTGTCGGAAGTTTATTGTTGATGCGACTGTTTTGGAATTCTGTATCTAGTCTAATATTGTTGCATTACTGGTTTTGCTATCACACTACTGGGATTTTTCTCACCCCTTTTGGAGCTCAATTTTTATAAAATTGCAGGAGGACGAAAAAGCATTTGATGACTTAGTTATTTTGGATATTTGCTGTTGACTGCGGCTGTTTTGGCATTCCTGCTGTTTGCATGCTATTTTTGTTTGATGTTGGCTGACTACTTAAAATTGATGTTATGTTTCGGAAGATGGATTACTGTTGGAAACCTGTTATGATTCGTTGTGTTGGGGATTTTACTTTCAGCTGGAAACTTATGTAATTCTGATGTTTAATTTGACAAAACACTTTCTGTCTGTTTTACCGTTTTAAATTCTGAATTTTG